TCAATTCGGGCTGCGATCAGAGTCACGGAACGAATTAAGTTCATAACCCGAGGTACCAGTGTATCAGTTATTGTGAGAAGGTGAAGCTGGAAAACACCCTGTATGACTGCCAGAGATTAATGAAGTTTGGACTATAGAGTGTAATTCTTTCAACTAATATTAATTTTTTCAACTAACTAATTTGAATACAATTCATTTTTAAAATGAAAACTAATTTCCACTGCCAAAAAAAAAAATAACCTTCATTATGGATCAAAGTGCATCACATATGAACCCATACATATTGTGCTGCATCTGTACGGCCACAGCCATGGATTCTCACACCTTCACATCCATCTTCCTAGAATTATTATGCTGAAGAAGGAATTGCTTTTAGAGAGCAATGGGAATGTTCTCTCCTATAGTAATAACACTGGTATATCTTAAAAAGTCCTGGGTACTGTCTCCTTCTTTGGTAGGCTCCTTGTTCAACTCTTTCAAGAGGAAGGGGGGGAAAAAACTAGAGGGCTGCAGTAAACATCCCGGAGATCTGACCACTTGGCAATGCCAACCTTCTCAGCACTGCCCACAAAGAAAAAAATAATCAAGACCACCAATATCGAGGTTAACAGAATAGATTTTCCTGCAGTATTTAAATGTTCCTGGTTCATTTTGACAACTGCATTTGCTAGACTTCACACTTTTATCTGGAATCTAAAAATATTCACAAGAATGTATTTGTCTGCTGTTGAACAATAATTGCAAAAACACCATATACAATCTTAATCAAAATCAAAAGATTAAAATCATGAAGACAGTGCATATATTAAATTATTAACAGCCTTTCACTGATTGTCATCCAGAGAAAACAATCACTGGATTGTTTTGAAAGAACATAATGACATCTGCAACAAGGAGATATATTATCTTATCATGGTGGAGATGTTTTTAACCAGGAAAGCTTTACAAAATATACTTAGTGCAGTGCAGTGTCTAATCTATAAACTGTAGTTACAAACAACTCAGCCCCAAACCCTGTGATTTTTACTAATTTTGCCAAGAAATTTGACATATTGGATGGAATCCTAATATTTGTTCTGCTCACAAAAGATAATTGTTGCCCTCACAGGGCAACTGCTTCCACTCATGGGGCAGAAAGATCTAGTCCCCTGTCAGTTGGTTGGAGCGAGAACTGTCATATTTAGACAAGACTCATTATAATCAGTGAGGCTCATAAGAATAATTGTGATAATTTATTATTATGCACCTTTACAAAATATGTTACCAATCAAAAGAGAAAACACAATATACAAAATTCCATCCAATAAATTAGTACACAACTTAACAATCAACAAATAAAACTAATACAATACATAGAACAAAATGAATCAAAACACAACCACCATATGCATTTCAAGTCATGCCCTGAAGAACATGCATACATCCATAATTAACATAAAACCAATTCTCAGGTAAAAACTATCTTCATGAGAGTAGGGTAAAATCATCATGTCCCATTAGAACTCACTAGTCAAAGAAAAAGATCTTTAAATTCCTTTTAAAGGCCATCAAACTTTCAAAGCGGTGAAGGGAAGGAGAAAACTAATCCAAGAGCTGATTCTTGATTACCTTTAGTCCAACTGAAGTTAGTTGGACTACTGTAAATGTAACTACATCTGGATCCAATCCAATATTTACAACTCAGCCTTTAAAAAACTTGTGAAAGCAAAATAATATTTATTTTCTAACTGGCTTCCAAAAAAGCAGACGAAGAATAAGGAAAATTTCAAATGATGCCAACACAAGCAAAATAGGTTTTCATGAAACTTACCCAAATAGGCTAAAGCACAAACTTATGACCTTATACTCATAAATATTTCTAAAGTCATCACAGACGAATTAACTACAAAACCTTTATATTTATTACCGCAGTGTTACATTAAGAACAAGCTACTGCAATTATATTCCTCAAAAAGTATGACCAAGAATTTATTTCAAGTTAATAAAAATCTTAATCTTTCCTTTCCAATTTCTCTCTGAAACAACCAAAAACTGCAGACTTCATTATACATTAATTTTGTAAATTCTTTATGCAAATATTTGTTTTCAGGCTTATAAGAAATCCCTTGAACATAAAACTTTATGTTGTGCTCTAAACTTCTGTATTTATATAACCCATTACAGAAAATATTCCTATCACGAAGCAATGGGACTCCTGGTTTTTATAGGAATCAAACACATATTATTGGAGGGAGTGGAAATCAGAAGTGAACAAAGCTCATACTGAGATCCTGTGAGTGAAAAATGGTGCCATTAACCATGGACTATACATATAATCATAACGGATTTGTGTGACTGTAGGCTCTGACAGCTCACAATAAGAGTTATGTATGAACAATACCCGCACGGCTGGCCTTACAGGCAGTCCTTGAATTACAACAGCAATTGGGACCAGAATTTCCATCACTAAGTGATGTGGTTGTTAACTGAATCCCATGGTCATTAGGCGAGGCAACTTCCTGCTGTCTTCCCACAACCAAAGTCAGTGGGGAAACTGGCAGGAAGTTGTAAGTTCCAGGCCTCAGGCAGGTAAGGGGCTCCTGCTGGTGGGGAAGGGAATGAGGGGGTGGGTGGATAATGTGGGGGAGGGTCACGGGATGCTTGATCATAAGTATGAATGGGTTACCAAGCACTCAGAATGCAATCATGTGACAGCGGGGCTACCGGGACATCCGGAAATACGAGGACTGGTCATAACCATCATTCATTCAGTGCCATCGTAACTTCAAATGGTCACTGAATGAATAGTTGTAAGTTAAGGACTACCTGTATTGTTTGGCAGAATGAGATAGCTGTTGGTGGCAGAAATGTGGTGTCAAGAGAACAGAGCTGTGTGAATCATGGACCTCACTACCAGTAATCCTTGCTTACCGACTACCCTGTTTAGTGACCGTTAGAAATTACAATGGTGCTGAAAAAGTAACTGTACATTTGTCCCTTGCACTTACGACCATCACAGCATCCCCAGAGTCACATAATAGACATTTGGACACTTCGCAATCAGCGGGAGTTTACAACTGTTGCAGTGTCTTGCAGTCACATGATTGTCATTTGCATGCTTCACAGACAACTTCCAACAAGCAGAGTTAATGGATAATCCAGCAGTAAAATGGCAAGTTCTGCTTATGTGATGTCTCAATTAGTGACTGGGAGTGATTCGCTTAACAACTGTGGTGGAAATGAGGTCATAAGCCCATCACAGTCATGTGATATTTCACTTAATGACTGTTGCTTAGCAATGGAGTTGCCAGTCCCAATTGTGGTTTTTAAGTAAAGACTACTTGTATCTTCAGGTGGGATAAGCATGGAAAGTCTAATACCCAAGTGGAATGGGGAGGTAGGCCAACCCATTCTGGCTGGGGAATTCTGGGAGTTGAAGTCCACACATCTTAAAGTTGCCAAATTTGAAAAACCCTGATCTAGCATCAGAGTTCTTGATTAGGCATGCCATAATAATCCCATAGTATCTAAAATGGATGGATGGATGGATGTCTGCTACTCTTTAAAGCAACTGCTTTTTCTCAGGATTGTGCAACTGCCCTAGGAAAAGTTGCATTTATTTCAAAGAATTACAGGCAGGTGCGTCTTTCTGAAATAATTTTTCAGAAGAGGATCTGAAGTGTAGCAGAGCTCTAATATATTGCATTCTCTCCTCCAATTTTTCCCCACAACAACAACACTGTATAGTAGGTTAGGGTGAAAGGTAATGATTGGCCAAAGTCACCTCTAAGCTGCCATT